TTTATTTTATTTTATTTTTGAGCTTCTCTTCACCTGCTGATGGCTAACAGACTTTCCTTCCTTCAAAGGGAGGAATTCCACTTGACCTTGTTATTTCTCCCTGACAGGAAGAGGGTTTTAAATCAAATCATTTCCTAAGGAGCCATGTAATGGGGTTCCGCCAGTCCCCAAATAATGACACGTAGACTTATCATTAATTATGAAAACTCGACTGTAGCTTAGGCTTATTTCTAACTAGCTCTTATAACTTAATTTAACCCATTTCTATTAATCTTCATGCTGCCATATGGCTCATGGCTTTTACCTCTCCTCCAGCATGTCCTGCCTCCTCTGTGTCCGGCTGATGGCTCCCTTTTCTTCTTCCCAGAGCTCTCTGTCCAGAAGTCCCACCTATACCTCCTGCCTAGCTATTGGCCATTTAGGTTTTTATTAAACCAATCACAGTGATCTTTACACAGAGTAATCAAATATCTCCCAACAGAGCCAGATCCATATACCCATTCTAACTGGTCCCTTACTCAAATCACCCTATAGCCCTCTTCCGTTGGCCAGGGCCCTTGGTTCTCTTTCCCAAGCAGCAGCTAGTGGGGCTGGCAGGCCCCAGGAGGGGCACGAACAATAAAGGCTTTCCTGGAAGCTCAAGTTACATGTTCGTTCATGCCATCTGAAGGAGAGCTGGAAGAATTGCATGACTGTGTATGTGTTAGCTTCCGCACTTTTCTGTGGATACCCAGGCCTAATCCAGGAGCGCGCTTTCCTGAATCAGGGCCACGAGAATGGACGATTGTCCTAAGGGTTTACGTAGACAAAGACACAAGAGACTTGCTTGCTTGCCAGAGAGTAAAAAAGCCGCCGTTTATTCAACTCAGGTCGGGTATATATACCAGGAGGCAAGAGGGTTCAAAAGGGCATGGCCCCCTCCCATCAGGAGCAGTAGAATAGATTGATACATTCCCAGAGCCTCAGGCAGGGTCAGCTATGGGGGAGGCAGGCGTGGGAGGCGTGTAGGGCCTGCAGCTGCAACCTTGTTTACAGGTGAAATTACCATAACAAAAACACCCTTGTTCTTTCTAAGCTACCCTCAAGCCAGTGCCCGTGCAGAATCTCCAGGGGCCAGAGGTCAAACAGTCCTGCGAAATGCCAAGGAAAAAAAGGGAAAAAGACCTGGGTACCTACATGTATGATCTACAATCCTTCTTAGTAACTCCTGGGTATTTGTTGGAGACAACACTGAGCCAAGGTATACATGTCCTCTTAATTGATTGTCATCTGTCATTGCCATTTAGAGATTGGTGAGGTTTATCAATCTGACTCTTTGTACTGTCGGTTTCCTGCCTTTGACTGAGAATCCCGCCTGTGTTTCCCAATGGTGTCTAGAGCTGCAGCCATTTGTTTTGAAATGATTGCCAACCAGGGCATGTGCACCTTTCTCTCGGGGTCATTCACGGGCACACCTTACTAAATAAACGACTCGTGTCGTCCTGATTTGGCCTGCATGTGTTGTATTTGCCTTGTATCTTTCTAAAACACTCAACTTGGATTCTAACAAAACACAGTACACCAAATATTTTACTCAAATTTTCTCACTTAGTCCTCTTAAGAGCCCTATCAAGTAGGTGTTAATGTTGTTTTGTAGATTGGAAATTAGAGCTTGTGGCATTAAATAACTTCGCCAAACTGGTACAATAGGTGAGTCTGGGAATGGAGGCTGAAAGTGGGTATCAGTGTCTTCGATATTTGGACCCATCTGTGGTGAGTCATTTTCAGGTTCTGGAGGACATAGGGTACTTGGGGGAACACACAAAAGTAAAACGAGGGAGTGGAGAGATGGTCCAGTGGTTAAAAGCACAGGCTGCTCTTCCAGAGGACCTGGGTTCAATTCCCAGCACCCACATGGCAGCTCACAACTGTCTGTATGTCCAGTTCCAGGGATCTGACATCTTCACAGCAATGCATATAAAATAAATTTAGGGAAAAAAAAGTAAACCGATGCTCAGCTCTCCCCTCCTCACCTCGCTGTCTCCTGTAGTGCCTGCCTTGTTTGAGGCAAGTGGATAACTGGGTTCTCTGTGGTTCCATAGTCCATCTATAACCACAACTTAATTTTAAGGATGCATTTTACATTTTAAATTATACGCTTACATTGCAGGGGATGGGGTGGGGTGTCGCACATGACTGCAGGTGTCTGTGGCGGCCAGAGGCATTGGAATCACTGGAGGTGGACTTATAGGTGGTTGTGAGCTGCCTGACATGGTTGCTGGCAAAAGAATACTACAGACCTCTGAGCCACGATGTATTTTTAATGCATAATATATGCAAATACTCCTCGGAAATCTAAAAAGTGTGTTTATGTATTTAAACTTAGTTATTACAGTGCATTATAGAGCCAAATAAGGGATTTGGGAACTCCAGAAGGAATAGACAGAGAAAAGTTAAGTGCTGGAGAGAGTAGGGTGAGAAAGAAAAAGAGAGAATATTGTGGGTGTGGCCACCCCGAATCTGGGTGTTCGAACGCATGATTCTGAGAGCGGCAGCAACTTTAGAAATCTGGAGACCAAATCCCGACCCTTCCAGCAACAGCGGTAGTTTTTGGTTTCTGAGATCATATGTGACTGAGACAGAGGTGTGTGATTTATTGCCCTACTATGGTCTTTGCAAAATTGCCGAAATTAAAACAAACAAACAAACAATGAAACAAAAAAATGAAAACTGAAATCTGAAAACAAAACAAATCCCTTGGAAATCATGGGAAGCCGCTGTGGTTGGCCTCATAGTGACCACAAGAGGGCGCTAGGCTCACACGAGTCACAGGCTTCGGGGAAAGACGCCAAATCACAGCCACGACCAATTTCTTAAAAGTCCCCCGTGCTGCTCAGAGTGACAGCCACCTCTTGTTTAGTAAATCTCATCTTAGTTAATTTTACGTAGATTCATTTGATTTGCCTGTTAGGTAGATTAAGAGGATTCGCCTGTTCATAAAATGAAAAATTATATATCTAAAAAAAAACAAAACCCGTGAGTGTGATCACTCAGACCGAAAGGTTCTGAAGGCGTTGGTGGGGATGGAAGGCGCTTGGGGAAGACTTCAATGATAGAATCCCGGAGGACACACTCTGTTACTCTTCTAACTCCCACACTCACAGAGCAAGCCCCATAATTCCTCAGCTTCTCCCAGGAGTCTGTGCCAAGGCCACTCAATAACTAAACATTTTATTTATGTATTTATTTTTGGTAAAACAAAGGAGAAAATCAGATAGATAAACCTTTGGTGGTGGCTACAGTTCTTACTTTGTGAAGGCCGATAGACCGGGGGAAGTTGAATACCTCTCAGATTTTACCTCAGTGTCTGGAGAAGCCATTAAAAGGAGAAGGACAGAGCTGGGGAACAATGGGAATAAAAGTCGTTGTCGTGGGTTTGAGGTGGAGGTGGCTTGGATAGGTGGACGCTGTCAACAGACAATTGGAAATGAGGGCCACGAGGGCCTGCGCGGTCACCTAGGAAGATCAGAGATAGCAATATGGGGTCAGGGCCCGCTGGCTGGGAGGACAGTCACGTGATGGAGTCCCTGAGAGTGGTGGCAGATTAGGGCTCTCCTATTTGCTATGATGGAACACCAACAAAATGGTCCGAGAAAGACAGGGTTTATCTTGACTCGCCAGTTCATGTCAGGAGTGTGGTGAAGCAACTTCTTCCTTCTCCTCCTCCTCCTCTTCCTCCTCCTCCTCCTCCTCCTTCTTTTTGGTTTTTCAAGACAGTTTTTTTTTTTTTTTTTTGCTGTAGTTTTACAGCCTGTCCTGACAGCTCTTGTAGACCAGGCTGGCCTCAAACTCACAAAGATCTGCCTGCCTCTGACTCTCGAACTTCTTAATAAAGGCAGGGTTTATTTTATTTCGTCTCACAGTTTTCTTTTGTTTGCTTGCTTTGTTTTTAAAGGTTATTTATTTATTTATTTACTTATTTGTTTATTTTATCAAGATGAATGTGACACACTCCTTTATTCCAGAAGAGGGCGTCATATCCCACTATAGATGGTTGTGAGCCCCCTTAGGTTGCTGGGAAGTGAACTCAGGACCTCAGGAAGAGTAGCCAGCGGGCTTCACCACTGAGCCACTCTCAGGTGCCCTTGGCTCACCCCTTGAGCACGCAGTTAATTGTGGCAGCAGGAGCGCCATGAGGAAGCTAGAAGCCTTTCATCTGCCTCTTCTGGAGCTCAGCTTGGTTTCTCCATTTTATTCATCCAGGTCACCAACCCGTGGAAGAATGACACGCATCTCTAGGATGGGTTGTCCCTCCCCTGCTAACTCCACCTAGAAACTTTCTTACAGACACAGCCAGGGTCTTGTCTCCTAAGTGACTCTAGGTCATGTCAAGTTGACAATGACTACTATCAGAAGAGGTCAGTGTGGAGAAAGAAGGTGTCCTAGTTAGGGTCTCTACTGCTGTGACAAAAGACCCTGACCAAAAGGCAAGTTGGGGAGGAAAGGGTTTATTTGGCTTACACTGCTGTATCGCTGCTCATCACTGGAGGAAGTCAGGACAGGAAATCAAGCAGGGCAGGAACCTAGAGGCAGGAGCTGATGCAGAGGCCATGGAGGAGAGCTGCTTACTGGCCTGCTGCCCACGGCTTGCTCAGTCTGCTCTCTCTCTCTCTCTCTTGCCTTTATAAGAGGAAGTTTTATTGTTAATTATTTATCTTAATAGTCTCAGAAAGAAGAACAGATTAGCTTATTCCAACATGATTTGTAGTTGGCAAAATCTAGGGAAGCAAGTGTATTCTGATTGCTTAGGATTTCATTTGGGAATACTTAACCGCCTAATACTTAGGACATAATGCAGAGCAATGCACCACCCCTTCTTTTCACTTTAATGCCACACCTACCTCCATCCATTATGGAAATATCTTCGTTAAATATGATTCCCAGAGGACAGGTTCCTTGGAGCATATAGCCATGAGGTCAATGCACAAAACGAAAACTGAAAATAAAACTCTTTATGATAGTTTACTAATCTAAAGAAACAAAACCTTCCAATATATTAAGAAATAAATCCAGTTACAAATGCACTAGTAGGTCTATGTGAGGAGGCTCTGGTGGAGTAACTGAAAACAGCCAGTTATTTACAAGATACACAAGCAGGAACGGTGCACCTAGCCCAGCACTGGCCCTCAGAAGCCAAAAGTGTTCTCTCCGCTGTGGGCCACATACAAGAATCCATCTTCATCCTTTTTCTTCTCGTAAAGCTGCCCCATAGTTAAGCTGCACTGTGGGACTATCTTGTCCACAAACGGGAAGATCGCCTTCTCAGAAGGAAGCTGAATCCTTTTCCTGATGATCCAAAAGAACTGAGCCACGGTGATGTCAGGTGGAACCAAGTACCTCCTTTCGTCAATGTCAACAATCTGAGTGCCTGAGACCTTTTCCACAATCACCGGAATCCGGTCGGGGTACTTCGCTCTAATCTTCGCGGATTCCACACATCTATGTTCCAGCGAGTAGTCTTTAAACATCCACTTCATGGCGGCGGGAGGCGATGGGGGGCCGAAGCTGCGGACTTCGGAGAAGCAACCACAACAACAACGGAGGCGACGACTGCAGCGACGACTACTCGGCAGGCGGGACTTCCGGCAGTCCTCAGCCTGCTTTCTTATAGAACCCAGGAGCACCAGCCCAGGAACGGCACCACCACCATAGACTGGGCCCTACTTCATTGACCACTAAATGAGACAATGCCTTACAGCTAGATCTCAAGAAGGCCTTTCCTCATCTGAGGCTCCTTCCTCTGATGACTTTAGCTTGGTTGTGCTGACACACACAGCCAGCCAGTACAGAAGATATGGGACCTAAGGACAGCCTTAGGGGCCTAGAGAGAGACAAGAAGGGCAACGGTATCAAATACTGCGTTGCTGTTTCCGGAAGATAGCAATCCTAGTGTTAGATGCTACAGAAACACAAATGATGAAGACCAGAAGTTTTAAACTGAAAAACCTCTTACTACATCCAAAAGAGCATTCTCCAGCAGGAAAACTTAACAGTGCCCTAGTAAGTGGACAGGAATACCTTGTCATAGCAGAAGCAAGGACCGCAAGCCCCTTGACAAAAGTCAAGCAGACACTAACTGTTCCTTCTCTACTCCTGCTACAGAAAATTATCACGCCAGGCGGTATTTAAAACAACGGCTAATAGATCTGATAGCTTTCATCTAAGACAGAGCCTCCAGCTGCAACCTAAAGTTTACAGGAAATACAGGGGTCAAAGGAACACAAGAAGTCCCTAAAGGGTGTCACGAGCAAGTCCAGATTAGAGAAAGACACACTAATGGCTCACTTCTTCCAAACACCGCCAGAACAGAAAATGAAGGCAAATCACAGTTGGGAACATTAGAAATACATCAACCAATTGCAATGTATTGATTTGGTCTGAATCTTAATTCAAACAAACTTAAAAATGCATAAGGCAATTAGGGAAAGTGAAGCAGTGACTGAATGCTTGATGATATTAAAAATGGTTTGATTGCCTTAGGTGTTACAATGAAAGAGTTACAGACTGAGCGGCACCGTGTCTGGGATTTGCATTGGAGCCCTCTAGGAGCAAAGCCAGGGTTTGGTGGGGTAGGGGGAGCACTGGATTGACCAAACTGATAGTGTACCAGCCAGGTGGTGGAGACTTATTCCTCACTCTCCTTCTGCTTCTTTAATGGTTTTCAATTTTCTATAATCAAAAGAAATATCATCAAAAGGTGGGTTATGTAGTCTGCATACTCTTTTCCACTTTTGCTTTTGAAATAAGGGTTCGTGTTTCCCAGGCTGGCCATGAACTTCCTGTGTAGCTGAGGATGACCTTGAACAGAATCTCCCACCTCCACTGCCCCAGTGCTTGGGTTACAAGTGTGCTCCACCCAGGTTGTCCTCCCTCTTCCCTTCTTCCCTTTCTGAACAATTTGGTGAAAATATGGAGAAAAGAGGGCTAAAATTATGTGTCATTAAAATAAGTTTTAATTGTCCAACCACATTAAGAAGAAATGCAAATAGATGTAGAAAAGGAAGAAAACATGATCAATATATTTTTTGAATGTTCTTCATAGCAATAACAATAATTTTGACATGCTATAGTGTGGCTTCGCTATTAATAATAATAATTCGTGTTAATAATAAAAACCCAGAGCCAGCTATTAGGGGGTGGAAGCTGAAAGATCAGAGAAGCAGAGCAGCCAGCCACTGGTTCTTACCTCTAGGAAATCCTCAGATTGAAGTGGCAAGATCCTGCCTGTCTCTACGAACCCTCAGATTGAATTCAGCCTTGAACACTGTCTCCTCCCGCCTTATAGTCCTCTCTTCACCCAGCCATATCCCTTCCTGTCTCCACCTTCCTAGTGTTGTGATTGAAGGCTTGTGACTCCCAAGTACTGGGATTAAAGGTGTGTCTCACCGCTGTCTGGTCTCTATGGTTAACTAGTAGGCAAGCTTCAAGCTTTATTTGTTAAATCACAAACAAAATATCACCACAAAGTGTCACTTGGCACATTTGTAGCACAGGATGGATGAACGTTTTTTCTAAACACTTTAAAATATTGCTCAACAAGCAGGTAAGTAAAACATGGCTTATATGTAATCAGATGTTATTCTGCCTCACAGAAGAAGAGATTAGTTACTTATCCTGTTTGCTGCAACAAAATAGCCCATGAGAGCCACTGAAGGAAAGGGTTACTTTAGTTTACTGCTCCAGTAAACTGAGGCACATTATGACAAAGAAGCAGGAAGTGGCTGGTCACATTGAGTCCAAACCAGGAAGCAAAGAGCATGGGTGCATGTTGGCAGAGACTGCTCGTTTGTTCCTGGCTGCCCAGACTCGAAATAACCACACAGAAATCTGTATCAATTGCAATACTGCTTGGCCAATAACTTCAGCATATTTCTGGCTAACTCTTATATTTTAAACTAACCCATTTCCATTAATCCGTGTATTAATGGTAAGCACCCATGGCTGCTGCTTACCGACAAGATTCCAGTCTGTCTGTCTCCTGTGGGCAGCGACTTGGCTTCTCATTGACTCTGCCTACTCTCTCTTCATATATCTCTTCCACCCTGGCTACATTCTGTTAAGCCGCTGGCTGAAAGCAGCCTCTTTATTAACCAATAAAAGCAACACATACACAGAAGGACTTCCCACACCAGATTGACTCTCTCTTTTAAGTCAGTCCAGGACCCTAGCCCATGCGATTTCTACTTAGGGGAGTCTTCCACCTCAATAACCTAGTTTAGAAAATCCTTCATAAACGAAAGTGACCAAAGACTTGTGTCCTTGCTAAAACTGACAATGTCAGCCAGCAGAGAGGGAAACTTCAAAACCTGAGCACGACACTGAGGGTCCTTGAAAACACTATTCTAAGTGAAGTAAGCCAGGCACAAAGAGACAATTTTTTTTGTGGTGATTCCACTTACACTAGGTACCATCTGCCAAATCCATAGAATGAGGAAGTAGGACAGAATTTGCCCCAGGCAAGCAGGAGGAGAGGCCAGGGTATCAGTGTCCACCGAGCGCAAGGCTCCTGTCAGCGATGAGGGCAGCTTTGGAAATGACCTGTGGTTAACAACAATTGCATGGATGGCTGCGATGCCGCTCAGCTGTGCACTTAACAGGAGACTAAAATGCTAAGTTTTTCACCTATGTTTTGTTACATATACACAAAAAAACATTCAAAAATTTCAGTTGTCTTTTAATATAGATTAAACCACTAATAGATGAGTTTGACCTAAAAATATACCTGGCTGGAGAGGCCATGACTTTGGTCTGGTCTGCCTACAGGCCCATCACATAGTCTATAAACCATTGTATGGGTTGTTTGGGCTCATAATTTCACAATTACTTTTCTTTTAATACATGTCATTATCTGTGGCGGGTACCCCATATATCAGTGAAAAGGCCTATCACGACTTATTGACCACTGCACTGTTGTCTTTTTTTTTTTTGGTTAGAGAATCCTTGTATTATAAAACACAACTGTAAACTTATTTTTTCCATGAATCTTAGTTTTTTTTGTTTTTGTTTTTGTTTTTTTTTAAAAAAATCACATCAACTTTTACAGAAGGATCCAGATTTCTTGGAGTAGAGGAGTCTGGGAAATAGTGGGGGAAGGAGACTGGCTGAAGGTTGCAAGGAATGAGATGCGGGGAGAAGGGATGGGTGTTAGAAATATAGCCAGGATGCTTCCTGGGAAAGGGGATGCAGGCGGAAAGCGTCGGGGAGGTGGTGGTGATTACTGAGGACAGGACGGAGTGGACTGTGGAGTTTGAGTAGGGGACAGGCACTGAAAGAAAATACACCCGGTGGTGGCCGTCTTCACTGAAAGGTAACCGATGAGGATCACAGGAAGGTCAAAGGTATGGAATCCTGGCAGTCAAGTGGCAAGTAGGGCGGGGTCTAAGCCTCGGGAGCAGCAGCGGTGGCACATTTGATGCCAGAGTGTGAACTGGTAGATGACCAGCCCACAAGTGCTTGTGACCTGCATTTGCCCTCAGCATCCAGGAAGAGGACTGGGTAAAGCGGGCCAAAGGGAAGACCACAGGCTGGGGGCAAGCCTGGTGGGCTGGGTGGGACGCAATATCCGCCTCTGCTTCCTTTGCTAGAGTTGCCCAGTCCATACCTAATCAATGCTGCGGCCATCCTGGTGGCGTTGTCATTGGTTAAATACTGATAAATGTCACCATACCACCACCCCGGGGAACAATCCTTGCCAGTTCACCATGTGCCAATCAGTACTGTCAATGCTCTCGGGTTCTTCTGGCGTAATTTTCACAGCAGCCCTCATGGGCCTCCTCCCCTGTCGGCTGGTGAGGAGATGAAAGGCTCAAGGGGGCACTGTCCCAAGGTTACACCGAGAGGCCACACCTCTGTAGTCTGCATTACACTGCTCCTTAGAGTCTGTACCCCGGGACAGCGCGCCAACTCCTATGCCCCAGACCCACCTCGGGCAGCTTATTTCAACCCATTTCCTCGGGGTTTTTATTCCTCTATCATTACATAAGGAAGCCGAGCTGTGTGGCCTTCGATTTTCTTGCAGAAAAGGATCTGCAAGTGAGAAACTAGAATCCAGTGGGAGTAGAAAGCAAAGTCTGAGCTGGCTGGGGAGGGAGGAGAGGCTGTTAGGAGGAGGAATTGCCTGCTAAGGTGGGAAGCAAAGATGCGCTCACTAAGTCCAAAGGCACAAGGTCCTGGATTCTCCCAGTTGGAGAAGGCGCAGGCTGAGTCACGTGCGGCACTATACTCCGTGTCCAGCAGATGGCAGTGTCCTCATTAATGCCGCTGGCCAGCATCAGCCTCCCAGTCATAACATGCATCAATTTATTTATTTGGAGTTTATTTTCAAAAGAGAGAGAAATACACATAAAAAAAAATAAGATTAAAGTAAAGCTCCAAGACAGCATTATGAGACAGGGAACCTCTGAAGACACTGCTGAGTTAGCTTTCTGTTGGCATCTCCTGCTGGGCACGCAGCCTGCCCTTATGAGGACTTTGTTTCCCCAGTGAGACTCCCTTGGAGAAAACTAAATTTCCATTAGAAAATGGTTATCAACTGGAGACGGCTTCTGGGTTGGGATGTGGGC